ACACGTTGCAAGTACACCCTCTGGAGAAAATAAGTTGGTTCTCACTGACTCAAGTGAGGGTAACCGCTCGCGTCGCTTCAACTGGTAGTCCGTGTTCCAACAAGTTGTATCGAACGCCAATGACAGCTGACCAATCTCGGGACCTACATTTTAATGACAATGGCGTTCGTAAAGTTTACACAGATTTGTCATGAACAGACGGGGGAGGTACCCAGCTACCAGATCGCAAGTGAGATATCCATTTATGGAGTTAGCACGTTTAGGAGTCACTTCAAGCGTGTCCCATCATGTGTAATTCCATCAACAGCTGAGGCAATTAGAATCCGATTACTTTACTCCCTTCTTCATGTACCTCGTTTAACTCAACTACTTTACTCTGTACCACGCTTCTAACCTCATTCCATCAAACCCACGTCGTTATACTTGTGAGCGTAGACTGTGCACGAATATGGCTCCATACCGCTTGAGAGAAAAAAAGCTGTAGATTGGTGTTTCCAAGAGGTACCGAGTGTCTGTGTGACATCACTGATTCCAAGGATACTACGGTCCACTATCTCATTTAAATATATACGTTTAATGTATGTAGGACATCGGCAGCAAGATGATTGAGTTTCTACACTGAAAATACGGTTCCACACACCGCAAACATCATAAATATGGTAAAGTTCAGAAAACCTCACTTTTTCTTGCTTTGCCTCGCTAAAACTAGGGTAGACATAGGTGCGTGGTGACAAGAAAATCAGGCGTTCAACGATGTCACTGGTCACTTACCATTCAAGCGGCATTCAGCATAAAGCATGAGAGGGATTGCAGTGCTGGGGTGATTCATTTCTGGAATGACATTTGCTTGAAACAATGGAAAAGACACACTTGTTGATCAGCTAAATTACCGGTCCAGCTGTATTGATCCACTGCTGAAGTAGCTTTCGCTGCACACTTTAGTGGATGCGTTTATTTTGTCCCATTTAGTCGAAGATTGATACTGTGTGACTGAGCATCGGCCATGATCGGCTGGGGTAGGCGGTGTTAAGCTGCGTACTAAATCCTGCCATACAGTGCAAAGTTTACAAATCCTGACTTGGTGACTTATCTAACTGATTAGCTTGAAGTCTTGATTCTTCTTGCTCTATAGTAGCATCATTTGGATGAACTCAGCTTTCTTCCCCTGGATAAAATACACACAATGTTTGATCAGAAACAAAAATATGAATTCACATTACAACACAACTCAAATTTTCAGTAGCCGGAGAGTACATACGCACTCTAATGAAAAGTTCCGCCCATCCGCTATATAAAGTCTCAATAGCCTATGAGAAGTACCAATCATGTAAGATTTTGGACTTGCTCTTAATGTAGTCAGTCCAGGGAATCTTGTAAGGTGTCAACGCGCCTCTACAATGTCACGAATATCTTTCTTGTGCTACCGTATGTCAGCGTGGATGATTTTGGGCTCTAATCCGTCTTCAACATCCAAAACCCTACTGACGTTTGAAAGATCATCGATGGAGTGCAGATCTCGCATCTTGCAGTTGTTTCATTCTAGACGATAACAGTCGATTTCAGTTCATTCACCATTGTAGAAAAAATTCGTCTGAAGGGTTATTCCTCCTCAAATAGACACGCACTGTGACCTTCTGCGCATACACATTACCCGTTTTCCATTGAAATTTACATGTACTCGGTTTAAATGCACCTGAGAGGAGTTGAAAATATACTTGATCGTTTACTTTATTTGTGTAACCAGATAGTCCGCACTTTTCAACCATGGGCACTGAAATAAATCAGCGCAGGCTTATCACATGCTTCGATCGATCATTGAAACGTATGTTACCGTGATCTTTCCTCTCGTGTTTCCCACTACAAATTAGTTTCGATAGAGTTTTCCTTTAAAGCCTTTATGGCTTTGAATTCCACTGTTATTCCCTGTTGTATTTGCTCTGCGGTCAGTTCGGTGATGTTGTGTACGTGTGAAAAAATAAATCTTCTGTTTTCTTAATCTTCAGATACAGTTCCCTCAGTAGCCATCATTTTGTAATAACTGATAAAATCGCCTTCCTCCTCTGGCCTTTGTCTCTGAGGATATGGCCCGTTTGTTGTTCTAGTGATGGATATACCTAGGAACGCAAAATGATAGATCTTTGCCACTATCGTGAAGTTCTTGTCGGGCATCATGTTGGTCATCATAAACTATCGCTTGTGTCATCCACGTATCGCACTCGTGTTTTTGGGTTGCTGTCTGGTGGCCCCATCTGTCGAAGTTCTTTCGCAGATACAGGGGAATGCAGTCCTGCCGCAGTCCTGCAGATTTCCCGCCAGCACTGGTATACTCGAACTTAAGGTCGGATGCCTCCTGAAAAATTATCTTCCGGGAGGAGGAAGTTTTTCCAGTAAAGAACAAGCAGCAGTTTCCTTGAGAAACCATATTAGTCGTAAGGTTGCGCGAAACTTCGACAGCCCATGACCAGTTTATTTGGGCTCGTCAGGTAGGTGCAATATTTGAGTTTCTGCATTGGAAATAGGCCGAGTAGTGTACCAGTTAAAACGTGAGGGGGGTTCGTGCAGTTCATTTAGCTGAAGAATATCACAACCGAGGAATTCAGCCGGGATTCAGTTCAGTTGCTCGTGAACAGCAACCAGCATGTCCTCGTATTTATCGTCAAGTACCCGGACTTTCCTTCCATGATTTCCAACCAACCAGTGACAGAATCCTTGTTCTTCGAAGAGGTATTCGTTCATATAACATGAAATGAAAATGGGTGGATGTGAACTATAACAGTTCAGTTAAGTTTTTACACCGCAAACAATGTAAATATCTCCATTAGTTTGGTCCACTCCAGTATTCGGATGTCAGTAAAGGCAGATCTCATGACAGATTCGCTCCAGAGTGCTAAACATCAAACCATGGTTGGTCCTCGTCCTTAATGAGCTGCGCTGCATTTATGAAAAGTCATGTTCAAGTTAAACCAGCTGGTAAGCATTTCATTGAAACTGACTGAAACTGATTTATTCGGGCTCTCTGCCGCGTTGAAATGAGCGGCATTCTCAAGTATCTTGAAATGCAACTATTCAACCATAGATTTAGACGGGAAGATTCTCGCAATTATCCATACAATTTCGGTTCCAGTGGCATGAGCATTAGGAAGTCTTCGTACGCAGACATTCAAAATCGAGCTCAACAGAGTCGATCCAATCCTTCAGCGTACCCACTCGATGATAACATTAATATTGGCTTGGTTTTGAAGCACGAAACGCTCAAGATTTGTCCGTTTTTGAGTGGCGAGGAAAATGTTCTTACCACTATGCCACAACATTAAGTTTTGACTTCTTCATTCGTTCATCCATTCACATTATTCTGAAGAGTCATTCATAATATTCCTTAAACACCACCAATGGAAAACCTCTATCTTCCGGGAACTAGGCAGGTTTGTCAGGCTGGATGACAGACTGATGGATTCGGGCCCATAATTTCAGACTACTTCCCTTTCTGCTCCACCGTAGACGATCCAGACAAAGCAGCGCAACGCACAAACTATCCAAAGGAACTTTGATTTCGTTTCCAGGCATTTTGAAGGATGTTTGAACCGAGGCATTCTGAACCTTATGGGGGGTTCATTAGTGAGAAAGGGTGTATTCTGATGTGTGCCATTAAGAGGATTTTCGGGTTATCCAGCCTAAAAGATATTTTCATGGCGTCCGGAATGATCTCTTTAAATGCAGTGTGTATAATGAATTTAACAGGTAACCGCTATCCGAGGGACATGCTGTAGAATGTGAAATACCTTCGCACGTTCGCCAGTACTGGACACAGTTAGCAGTCTAGTCGCCATATCGGTCCATTAGCAATATCACCCGTTCCTAGTAGACTGGGTTGCATGAAGCTAGGGTGTACAGGTTTGGCGCACTGGACACACGCCTCTTCGGCCTAGCTTAAAAACCTCATGGTCCGCACTGTCGTTATGGCGTAGTTCATAGGTAGCCATTAACAATGCCATGAGTCATGACAACCTTATGGGTCCATTGTACAATGATATCATCAAGCCCGGGATTTTCAAAGGATGAGATCAGGCATAGATTATTGCTTATCCAGACAATTCAGAATGAGGGTTTTATGAATATTTGTCAGGCTATATGAGAGAATGATACGACTTTCCTTGGTTTCCTGATTTCGATCCTCTGAGGGAAATCCTCTATACAAGAGACCCACTAGGGTTTAGTCAGTTTGGTGAGTTGTGTGGTGATCGTTTGAATACCAGGTTATCAGATACTTCTGGTGTTGTTGACACACGGCCGACTGAATTCAGCAATGGTAAGCCTCTCATAGTGGATATAGTGCATTGGAATATATAATGATTTAGGCACTAGAGACCGTTGGTGCGTTACCTTTCGGCGATTCGTTAAGAACTGATTGAAGGGCGTCACGAAATTCAGTCATGTTGACGGTTCTATAACGATGCACTATTCAAACTCACAACATTTAGGCAACGGATGTTTCCACTGAAAAATGGGTCCAGCACCAGAGACTGCATTGATTAGGATATGTGTTGCATATGCCTAGCCATCGTTTGCCGAAGAGGGTGCCGCTTTCCATGCCCAACTCAGTGGCGGAAGCAGAGAAGTGACCAAACCTTGACCTAAAAGACGGGTATGAAAGAACTCACGAAACGTTTGGGTGCTTTCGGTGCTACTCGCCCTCGGGATGGGGATAGCGTGATCCTCACTGTGCCTGGTTAGAGACGCTGCAAGATATGACTGCCAACCGATATCACTGGCGATCTTGTCAGTTACTATCTAGATTGTCTGACTGAGTGTTTGGGGGTGTAAAAACCTCGGAATGGTTGTAGTAAGCCAGCATTATGTCACTTCCCGTCCATCTTTATTCTTTCCTTCACTATGACTGCCACCGATATCACTGGCGATCTTGTCAGTTACTATCTAGATTGTCTGACTGAGTGTTTGGGGGTGTAAAAACCTCGGAATGGGTGGTGTAAGCCAGCATTATGTCACTTCCCGTCCATCTTTATTCTTTCCTTCACAATAAGGCTTTCAATTAAATCATCGTTGTACGGCAGAGAAGCATTGGTGTTGAACACTGATGTCATGCTGTCGATGATGATGATGATGACTCCCTAATGATGCCCAGATGTATCCGCTTGGCCTCATAAATCCCTCCACTCGATCTATCTAACCTTCTTACAGTTCGCTTCATACTGTGCAAGCTTAGGTATATGCTTTGGAACCTTCTGCCTATTATTTTGTGAATTCACTACATCTAGAATGGGAAGCTCTGACAGTCCAGTCTAGTTGCTGAACTCTGTTATCACACTCCGTCTCTGTAACATTTCCAGCCACCCACGTCAATTTTTAATAATTACTTGACAAATGTAGTTCAAGGCCTTTTCGACTTAATCCCTGCAATCCTTTCCGTGGGCCTTTTCGACCAGGACTCCCACGCTGCTGTATCTACCTAGAGCAAAGAAGTTGCTCTTCACCAGTCAACGAAGTTCTGAAAATCCCTCAGCAGCTATTATCAAACACACAATGTAACGGCGCGAAATTTAGCTGGGCGCGATCACTGATTTCACACCGGACAGGCTAGATAGTTTCTTAAATATTTGTTAGTTGGTTGCCCTATGACCAACAGAGGATGACCCAGAACCGTTCCCCACTTCTTTCTATATTTGAGGTATGTACATCTGTGCATGAATGTATTTCTGAACTGACCCTAGAATCAGGGGGTTCAAACTCCAACAAATCCCTGCTCAGTGGCTGTTTTTCAACACACTTGGCAAGTAACGCAACTAAGCCTCTTGAATAACATTTTCCGGTTTCCTGGCCCGTGCGTCAGCGCACCTTTAGTTCAAACGTCTAACTTGAAGCCTTACGGTGTGAGCCGGGTGTCACCCTTCCCACTGCCCTAATGAGACTGTGAACTCAATTAAATCAGCTGATTCATTATGATAGTTTAGATTTAAACACGATGATGATAAAGAAAACACCAAGGAACGTATATAGATACTACGGCACGCTCGATTTTGTTGCCGCTATGTGGTTGATGGGGTCAAACTTTTCAAAGCGTCAAAGAATATCCTCACGGTATCTCGGAGGCAACTTCACTACCGAGTATTTTCTTCTAGAGATAAGCCGCCTGAAAACTGTCCATGAAATCGTTTGAAAATTTTCAGTAGACAATTCATCCTGTCAGTGAGACCGATCTAAACTGAAAAGCCGGAATCATCATCAGTGTTCATTTAGCGAAACTCAGAGAGTTTCGAAGCTGCGACCCCCTGACCAGTGGCTGAGCACTTAACAGTTGGACCACGAGTGGCTAATCAGTGGTGTGATAACATCTTCGGAAAATATTATGAACCATTTAGGTGCGATTCTTACACAAAACCACACCTACATATATAAGTATATGTATATTTATACATATAAACATAATGATGCCCAGATGTATCCGCTTGGCCTCATAAATCCCTCCACTCGATCTATCTAACCTTCTTACAGTTCGCTTCATACTGTGCAAGCTTAGGTATATGCTTTGGAACCTTCTGCCTATTATTTTGTGAATTCACTACATCTAGAATGGGAAGCTCTGACAGTCCAGTCTAGTTGCTGAACTCTGTTATCACACTCCGTCTCTGTAACATTTCCAGCCACCCACGTCAATTTTTAATAATTACTTGACAAATGTAGTTCAAGGCCTTTTCGACTTAATCCCTGCAATCCTTTCCGTGGGCCTTTTCGACCAGGACTCCCACGCTGCTGTATCTACCTAGAGCAAAGAAGTTGCTCTTCACCAGTCAACGAAGTTCTGAAAATCCCTCAGCAGCTATTATCAAACACACAATGTAACGGCGCGAAATTTAGCTGGGCGCGATCACTGATTTCACACCGGACAGGCTAGATAGTTTCTTAAATATTTGTTAGTTGGTTGCCCTATGACCAACAGAGGATGACCCAGAACCGTTCCCCACTTCTTTCTATATTTGAGGTATGTACATCTGTGCATGAATGTATTTCTGAACTGACCCTAGAATCAGGGGGTTCAAACTCCAACAAATCCCTGCTCAGTGGCTGTTTTTCAACACACTTGGCAAGTAACGCAACTAAGCCTCTTGAATAACATTTTCCGGTTTCCTGGCCCGTGCGTCAGCGCACCTTTAGTTCAAACGTCTAACTTGAAGCCTTACGGTGTGAGCCGGGTGTCACCCTTCCCACTGCCCTAATGAGACTGTGAACTCAATTAAATCAGCTGATTCATTATGATAGTTTAGATTTAAACACGATGATGATAAAGAAAACACCAAGGAACGTATATAGATACTACGGCACGCTCGATTTTGTTGCCGCTATGTGGTTGATGGGGTCAAACTTTTCAAAGCGTCAAAGAATATCCTCACGGTATCTCGGAGGCAACTTCACTACCGAGTATTTTCTTCTAGAGATAAGCCGCCTGAAAACTGTCCATGAAATCGTTTGAAAATTTTCAGTAGACAATTCATCCTGTCAGTGAGACCGATCTAAACTGAAAAGCCGGAATCATCATCAGTGTTCATTTAGCGAAACTCAGAGAGTTTCGAAGCTGCGACCCCCTGACCAGTGGCTGAGCACTTAACAGTTGGACCACGAGTGGCTAATCAGTGGTGTGATAACATCTTCGGAAAATATTATGAACCATTTAGGTGCGATTCTTACACAAAACCACACCTACATATATAAGTATATGTATATTTATACATATAAACATATATTCAGCTGAGTATATACCAATCCAACTCATTTATGGCATGTCACGTGGTGTCCAACATCTGGTCCATCCGGCAAATAACCTTGGGAATCCACGACCTTGATAAGCATGCGGCAGCAACCTTGGGACTTTATTGTCTAATCTAGCAACCAGTCACCACAAATATCACGCGAATGGAATAAAAAGATGAAAAGAGTACGATTTGTTTACGTGAGTCAAAGCGATCAAGATGCATTGTTCTTGCCATAACCATTACGTATTATCAAAAGTGGTGCTGGAGTCGACCATTTTCATGTACCGATTGGGTAGTTCATGTTCTGGCTTTCTGCTTGCAATAGGACCGGTATTGGATAGTCGGATTGTCGGCTCTAAACTTCGAAAACCGGTGATCAATCGGAGCTGCCAGTCGACTTTGCCACCGACACTTTGAAATTCAGTTAGAGGCAATCACTGCTTAGACTGGAGTCGCTTTGCTACCTTGAGTAAGGGATCTGACTAGTTGATAAATTCCTTCATATGGTGGATCTTATGATGGAGAGGTGTTGTGAGCACCAGTGCTCTCGCTAAAAATTTATCTTCACTGATTTGGTGCCACGTAATCATTTCAACTAAACCAACGCAAAAAATGGCGGTGTGGCTATGAGCATATGCATTCGATAGATACCAAAAATTGACCACAAGACTGACTGCTTGACGTGTGTAGTCGTGTTTTCTGGATCTGAGAACTGTAGGCAATAAAATAAGTCTCTTTTATGCAAAGATCATTGGCTAGTGAATACAATCAGCCCCTCCCTATGTCGTTCTTGATGGCACTATCAGAGTTGACGTAACCCAAAGTTTACTTCAAGGGAGTTTTGCCGAATATGAATTGATCAGGTGATCTTCTATCCGGTGCACTGACCAATCTGATCTAGTGGGTCTGGTGATTCGTATCGATTGGACGGTTTACGGTTGCGCTGGTCACGTGTTTCGTTTCTCCAGTGGAGCTTAACTGTAATGTAGGATGGATATCGAGCCATCTTCCCCGCAGTTTAGGAAACAACAACAACAAAAGAACGGCCTGGCACTAAAACGATGGGGAATTTAACACCATGGTATGAGTAACTGCAGCCAACTCTAACCATAACACACTATAGTAATAACTTGAAATTGTTGCATGAGAGAAATACCAATATATAAATTTTTCATCCAATCGGCGAAAGATGAGCCGATAGTGACAGTCTTTCAAAGCCAAAATTATCCGAATTTTTGTGAAATTTGCTCTCACGTAATCGTGAATAACATACTGCAGCTACATGTACCTAATGAAGAAAAGTGTCAGCTGGAAAAAGGCTAGGTTTGTTTCTACTTCCAGCCATCAACTAGGTTTCATCAGCACCACCAAACCACAAATATAGGCCATTCCTAACGATGATCATGAAATGCATGTAGAGCGCGTTTTCCAATCACTTTGTCGCTGCCATACTAGCTAGACATTTTTAACCGAACGAATCTTTTACAAATGACATAGTACTGAGAAACTGTCCAACTCATTTGTGTGGGATTACCGAAAATCTCATAAAAGATTACGAATAAAAGTAAGACGCTACACGTTTCAACATTGATTTGATCAACATACCGAAAAACGAAGTATACCCATAAACATTCCTGGCGGTTTACACACATCCTGCCGTTCACATGTATAACGTCACCCTGTGTTGAGGTTCCCGATATGAAACTTTGTGTCACGCCTAGGTTTGATGATACCGAAAATCAAAAGGAAGGATTGATCTCGGAATTATACGGTACTATATGCACAGAGGTGAGCAAAATTAGAAAACAAACCTCAGTTGTCTACGTCTGTGTGTTCAGCTATTGCGCAAGCCCGTCACTGACAGGCAAATCGCAGTGTCAAGGTCCGCATACCAAACAAGGGTGATCGGTATGTTGGCCCGGAATTGTGGGTTGCGGTCGTCCCTTCCAAGGCCATTCTAATAAGTCAGATTAGGAATGCAATCACGCAGAACTCATGACAGGATAAGCCAGAACGGGCCCAGCATTCGGGGCATGGACACATATGGGTAAAAATTCGGATGAGTCCAGTGTGCGCTGGTGGAGTAGTGGTAGCACGCTCACCTTGCATGTCTGATGTGCGACACGGCCATTGTATATGCACTGCTGATCTGCTCTGATAAGAGCAAAACTCGAGTCCAGTGCTTCCCTTCTTTGGTGTGGACTCACCAGAATGATTGCGCGAGGACAGGAGAGCAACTGTTCAAACGAGAGTAATGTGAGTATGTATTCTACATACGGGTAAGTCAGATGGGCCTTCCGTGAAACCAAATTGATTTGCAAATGAATGCATTTATCGAGGTAAGTAAGTCAATTGCATTCATGCACACACATTCTAGCGTGCCAGTTCCTGGAGGGACGGCCTTTGTGGCAAGGTGAGTAGCGGGTGTGGAGAAGCAAAAGATGTGGAGATCAGTAAGGACACAGGCAGCGCACGCGTAAGCGAAATGAATGTAGAATTATCATGTCAATTTAGATTCACTACTCTGAAAGTATCACTAGCCACAGATCGAACTTCTACGTCAGAACTTGTAACACAGTGAATCCATGCTGCTGATGCCTAACTTTATCATCGTATGCTTTGACAACCTCGACTTTTGTCCCAACCCAAACATCGCGTGAAGTGGGACTCACCGGTAGTTATGTAATGTAGCGTCAGAAGCAGAAAGCAGCCCACTCATGTTTCCGTTTACTCGAAACCCAGTGACAATATTGCCACCAAGACCTGCGTCGAGCCCTTTGGCAATACGTTCACCGTGACTATGGCTGCATGCCACTCGTGGACCGGTTAGCCCTGGAAGACGATAAAATTATCAGGACATGGCTTAATTGCATGTAAACAGAATTCTTGAGGAATGAAACATCGTTCTCCAACACGAATATTCTCTGGGAATGAACCAGCGATCAAGGTCGTAACTACAGACTTAAGTTGTTCATCAAAGCTGCCGAGGATGCAGATGTTGTAGATCATCAGTTACCCTATTAATTATCATTGTAGGCCCTATTGGGCAGACATCTACAAAAGTTCCACCAGTGCGTCATATCAGCCAAACTATGGAACTTCGTGTCTTAATTAAGACACGATTCGTTTGTGGTAAACTGTTTTTATATAACTCTTCCTCCTACGTACTACGATGCGCAGTAAACGAATGTCCTCACTGGACTTCCAGAGCAACAGCACTCAACGTGTTTGATCGCGATCAGTTCTACCACTGGCCATCCGGAGGCGTAGTTGATTTTTATTTCTATCCTTCAGTATACTTTAATATAACGACGTTATCAGGACAGGCTTTGTATCTTTACATCCCCAACTGTTAACGAATGCCTTCCTCCAACGATCAGTATCGTGAAGTACCTGGGTGTAAATCACCATCGAAAAGTCAGATGATCTCCTGCTATTGAAAGAGTTCCATTTAAAATCCAGCGACCGGGCTGTTATCCATAATACAAGTATAATTATAGAGTTTAAAACTCCGTGTATGCACCGTTGTTTCTTCGTTGCATCTCCCGGACTATAGGAACGAATTCTGGTCTATTGCAAAGTCAGCTTGAACTCAAATATGTGAACCCAAGTCACACTATAATTCACCATGTTCTTAACTTTTTGTACAAGCGCCAGCCTCCTGAGGTCGAAAAGTCAAACATCATAATAGTACTGATTAATAAAGCTTTGTGTATGGGGTCATAAATAACAGGCGGACTGAAATATCGGAAACAGACTCCGACTTAATGATCAAGTATCTCTGGTCCAGGTATGGTGTAAACTGACACGTTTGTACGTTTCGTACAAATTTTTGAAAATATGACACAACAAGTCAATCATTCTGTGCATTAGATAATGTAATAGCCGGATGGACACCCGGTGGTGATGCACTTTATTTCGGTTTGCATGCGATTTGTGAGAACCGAGGAGGGAGCTTGAATAAAACCTTCGCAGGTTACTCGAAACTGTCCACATATTTCGTTTACCACGCTAATTATCGTAGACACTGAATATCCCACCTTTCTGAAATGAAAAATTATTTCAAAAGGTTTTATGTTGCCCAAAAATCACTGACAGATTGAGTGTAGTTGGTTCCAGGTTGGCTAACCGCGACTTGGCTTGCTTATGCAGTAATATTCACCCTTCAGACGTTACTTAAAAGAAATGGATATTGACAGTCAGTTAACAGGTTATGCTTGGTTCTCCATCAAACCTAAGCATCATGTTTAACCTCGATCGCTTTTTGGCCCACAAGTGTGACCGACCTCATGATCCCTAAGGTCAAAGGACCGAACAAAGCTACAATCGAACAGCACAACCAAGCAACGTAACGGGTCCAGATTGAGTGAACAATGCAAAAATAACTAAGTCGTTGTAAGAATGACGAGTGCGGGACGAAGGCGACAGCACCCAACTAGTAGTGACACAGGCCTATGGTGCTTCGTCACCTTTCGATAAAGCAAAAATTTACGTGTATTTTTTCCAGTCTGCGACCCAGAGGATCAGAGTGAAATTCAAGCAACTGGATTTCTTATCTCAAGTCGGAAACAGTGTCCCATCTGACCATCTACCATCCGTCCCATCTCCCTTGCTATTGAATGCTTCCCAAATCAAATTTTTCTGTGTTGAGTTTTCATTGTTTAGCTAGCTTAATGGAGTTGACAAGTACCCGAGGGATTTTTGTGAAGTGTTAATTGTTCTTCGAAAGCTGACATGCTGCTGATATAGATCCAAAGTGACAAACCGTTTTATGATACTCCGATAACATTCCAGTATAGGCCAATGTGTGTTATCTATGTGTTATCCAATATGTGTTATCTCGAGACACACGATTGCGCGCTTGTCGTAACTTGCTGACATTAGGGTGCGAGATACGAACATGCCTTGTTATGGAGAGTGATTGACAAGTGTTCTATGGGGAAGATTCAGTAGTCCATTAGCTGGTCCGATAAGACCAGTGAAGTAGGTTTGCACAGTAATTACTCCAGTCTGACCATCTGAATGACGAACTGTTTATTATAGACATTAAAATATGGACCCAGTCGACTTTTGATTCAATTCATTCAACGCTTATACATCAAATGAGGGACCGAGATCGGCGGAAAATGATACAGTACGCGCAAAGAGGTAAAACTGGAGTGTACAGCCCAGGAGGAAGCCATTTGGAATGGTCACAAATGATACAGCCACTTATTGGTTGAATGTGAAACCAAAATGAATATATGACAGAGTGAATTGATGCATGCAGCCATCGGTAAAATTGAAAGTTTGAACTAGATTTAAACAGTTGAACTGAGTGAGGGAGTAATTTTGACATGGAGATCATTATCTGTTAGTCGGCAGAAGGGAATTTCTTGATCTCGGTAAGCGAATGAAAACAGGCTTGAATGCATATTCGTATCGCACTACTTACAAGGTTCCTGAAAACTCTTCGACAGCCCACATCCGGTTTCGCACTTATTGGGGCTCAGACGGTTCTACTTGAAACATTCATCACAAACGAGTGGTTTAGCTGGGTTTCAGGTGAATCTGCCGCAAAACCAAATTAGTTTGCAGATGAGTGTATTTCGCTAAGCCTGAATGCAGTTTGGCCCTATTCTATTCCAACATGTATATGAAATACGGAAAACCACACATAAAAAATCGTTCAGCCGTAGCACCCTTTCAGTGCCTAGCTGCCATGCCACACGAAGGGGCACGAGACCTGGGATACTGCCAGGTCGCTCAAGCCTAGACAGGGGAAGTCGAGAGGCAGAGGTCGGGTTCGAACCACAGACCTTTCGGTCAGTAAATTCGCACTCTAACCACCTGGTCCATCTCACCCCCCTTCCAATGAAATACGGAATTTCACGCCAACTAATCTGATAGTAAATGACCTCATTTTGCTGGTTATTCCTCTGTCCTCGATGCAGTCCTGGCTTCGAACGGCGATACCGTGTTTCCACTCCAGACTTAAGCTCCAGTGTTTTGGTAGGTACCGAAAGT